AGTCCCAGCTACTCGGGAGGCTGAGGCAGGAGGATCGCTTGAGCCCAGGAGTTTGAGGTTGTTGTGAGCTAGGCTGACGCCACGGCACTCTAGCCTGGGCAACAGAGCCAAACTCTGTCTCAAAAAAAAAAAAAAAAGGAATTAGAATCCTATTCTCTCACAGATCAAAACCAAGTGTCATTACCTTGATAGCAAGTTAAAAAGGGTTGGCATCAATATCTGAGGACTTTTGAGTTTCTTTTTGTGCTGCAGTAATTCCAGGATGAGGGTTACTCTTTGCCAGTAGGAACCTCCAACTTCCTGAACGGATTCCAGATCTTGTGATTTTCTGGGAAACAGAGAAGACAAAAAGTTAGAAAACTAAACATTATCGTTGCTAAGTAAAAACTACTGTGCCTGATTATGCCAAATTGATGGGTATCAAAAAATCTCAATGGTTTCATAATATTCAGAGCCTGAAGAACAAAAGCATGTTCTCAATGCATAGCTCTTACTTCTGCTGCATTTTTTGCCTTCTTGTTTGCTGAATTGTGCCCAAGGATTTAGCTTTATCTGGTGGCTCCAGTTCTATTCTGATTTGTTCCGCGTTAACAGAAATCTGAAATATTGAAGGAAGAATGGTTGATAATATAATTCATTGGGATAAATTAGAGCAATAAACATTGACTAAAAGACAAATGACAAAAGTGTTTATGTCCACTTTTATGTCTCCATACCAGTCTATAGCCCAGCCAAATCCCCACAGGCAAACACCATTGACAATTTTTTATGTACCCCTTAGGAAATATTTCCATATACCAACAGCTATATAAAGATTTAAAAAAATAAATAAATAAACAGGAGCACATATACACATTGCTTTGTTTCTTGATTTGTTTCACCTGTATCTTGGAAATCTACTCATATCAGTACATAGTTATTTCATCATATGATACATACATATTTATTGTCATAAAGCACAAGAAAGTATTTCATATAATAGAGTGCATTTTGGTAATCAAAATAATTTTAATAGTGAAAAGTACAGCTGCTTTACATTTAAGGTCAATCTTATCTTTGGCTGATATGGCATGTCTAGCAAGTATCTCATGTGCCCTCTAGTCGGCTGTCTACTGAGATAGAAGATAGAGGAATTTTGGTTAACACTTTCCTTTTAATAATCCTTTAAATGCTTTAGGATGCTCCCCTTTGGAGCTCAATTCAACCAGCACTTAATTAAGCATTATATTCAAAGCCTGTTAAGTATGTGTTACCTTTGTAATTCTAATTTTTCCCCACATTCGTTTAAAAATATTAAGACTAAAATCAGACATTATCCTCTAAGAAGGATTTACTCAGCTAAGAGGGAAGAATGACTTCCTGGAAAAGCACCTGCAACCTCCCACCATTTGATGCTGCTACCTTGTCACAGACTTCTTGAAAAATCAGAACGAGAAGGAAAGTAGGGAGGTGTAAACCAAAACCAATCTAGTGCTACCCAACATAAATTCAACTTTAGATTTTCATTTTAACTGAGCTCTCCTACTACCCTGTACTTGCTTCCTATGGCCTTTGTCTTGGCTCTCAAGTTACAAACTTGTGCTTGCCCTGATTATGACATGGCATCATTTCTCTAGCCCAGAGCCACTCAATTTCATGTTCACCCCTCAGAGTGGAAAACTAGTAACTAGATACGGAATCATCCACACTAATTGGCTCCCCATGCTAAACCAGGTATGTATACCCTAATCAACTGGTAAGGAATAAAACAGCCCCAGAGATTCTGTAGATATGGAGTGGGATCCAGAAATCTCTTTTTTAAAGGTCCTAATATCCCAATTAAATGTTTGGATTCTGACTAAAGGAAAATAACTATAAAAACTACTTTTGAGAAAACCATGGATATATGATTACGGAATGGGTAATTAGATGATACCAAGGAATTACTATTTTTTCAGGTGTGATAATGACATTGTAGTTATATAAGAAAATGTCCACTTTTTAAAAGATGCTTACTGAAGTATATAGGGATTAAAAAGTGCACGATGTTTCGCAATTTATTTTAAAATACTTCAGCAAAGAAAAAGAAGGAAAAAAATTAAATAAATATGTTAAAATTCTAAGAACTGCTGAGTCTGGCTACTGGGACTTCACTTCTATGTATTTGTAATGTGTTTCCTAGAAAACAAAACAAGACAAAAAATAGAAGAACTAGACGGTTACTCTGAGGTATAGCTAGGTTTCAATATGCATATAAAACCAATAAAGCAGATTCTCAATTCCATTCGTATATATCATTAAACAACTGTTTAAATTTAGTAGAATAATCTGTCACCCAGTTCAACAGCAAGCCACTCATTCATTCCTATTCCTTGCATAAAACAGGTAGATCCCACCTAATGTGGGATCCAAACTAACACACCCACACATGTGCACACACACACACGCTTACCTGGTTAAAACTATCAATATTTCATATAAAAAAATAATGATAAAGACTTATACTTTTGATTTTGTGCCTCTCTATGACCTACTTTTTCATGATTCTTATTAATGGTAACATATGACCTCTTAGAAGCACTGTGAAATGCAGAACACTTAAACATGGTGTCCCTCGAAACAGGCTAAACATTAATAAACAAATTACAGGAAGTTTGCAACTTACCGCTTTAAAAATACTACTCACAGTCTGAGCACAATGTGAGTTTTTACAGTTCACCAATAAATCAAACAACATCTGCAAAAACTTCTGCTGAACTTTTTCATCTGATATAGCTGCGAAAAATGGTTTTGTAATCTAGGGGAAGTAGAAAAAAAGGCAATTAAGTTCAATGAACAAGTACTCTGAGCTCCAAAAATGTTTTTTACATCAGTCTCTCTCACAATATAAAATTGTTTCCCATTTTGTCAGTTAAAATGCAATTCTTTTTAATGACCCATGTACAACATTCAGTTTTGCAAAATGGGTCAAATACATCACACTCCTTAAAACATGCCCAGTCCACCAATAACTATCTTCTCCAAATAAAACACTACCCAGATTTTCAAATGCTTGACTATGCTTTAGTTTCTGAAAGAAGTCACTGACCTTTTCAAGGGCTGTGATCTGAATGGTTGGCATTCCTGTGTAAAGTTCCTTTGTTGTGTGCACAGCTTTTATAAATATATCTAGACTCTTTGGGTCCTTATGTAAAAGGGACACTGAATATTCATTATATTTTCCCAGAGCGTGATGCAGAACAACGGCCTCATCTTTCAGGACAGCAGGGGTCTTCTTCTCAATCTTTTCTAGTAGTTGCTCAATCATAGGCAACAGCTGAGAAAGCACCATCTAAAGATTGGAAAACTTGTTAGTGAATAGTTACCGATACTGATACGTTTTTGATTACTCTACAAAGACATCAAAAGACACCCCGTTAGAAGACTGGGAGGTTAGCCAGGGAAAAAAAAAGCCAATAATGACGACCTCTTAGACGTGGAGGCAGCTATTAATCCGTACTAAGGCACTCAGGTCCTCTCTGATAGTTCATCTGTAATGCTCAAAAGCACCAAACCCTTCGGAAATGAGCAAAGACAATCTGTGAGCATCCCTCAAAACTTTTTGAGAACAGAAAATACAAACTAAAATTTTATTTATTTATTTAGTTTTTTAATTTCAGCATATTATGGGGGTACAGATGTTTAGGTTACATATATTGCCTTTGCCCCACCCGAATCAGAGCTTCGAGCATGTCCGTCCCCCAGACGGTGCAGTGTATCTATTAGGTGTGTATATACCCATCCTCTCCTCCCCCTCCCACCTGCCTGACACCTGATGAATGTTATTACTATATATGCACTTAAGTGTTGATCAATTAAAACCAATTTGATGGTGAGTACATGTGGTGCTTCTTTTTCCATTCTTGTGATACTTCACTTAGTAGAATGGGCTCCAGCTCTATCCAGGATAAGACAAAAGGTGCTAGATCACCATTGTTTTTTGTGGCTGAGTAGAACTCCATGATATACATATACCACATTTTATTAATCCACTCATATATTGATGGGCACTTGGGTTGTTTCCACATCTTTGCAATTGTGAATTGTGCTGCTATAAACATTCTAGTGCAGATGTCTTTTTTATAGAATGTCTTTCATTCCTTTGGGTAGATGCCCAGTACTGGGATTGCTGGATCAAACGGCAGTTCTACTTGTAGCCCTTTAAGGTATCTCCATATTACTTTCCACAGAGGTTGTACTAGACAAACTAAAATTTTAGAGTATAAAAATAAATTTGAATGTTCCCTAAAACACTGTGCACTTCCCTCAAACAATGTTTCCAACTAGGCATAATTAATTCAAATTAAGTATGTAAAGTCTTTAATAACTAAAGCAGGGGCCAGCAAATATGGCTTGTGGGCCAAACTCACTGGACTGTTTTTGTAAATTTTATTGAAACACAGCCACGTTCATTTGTTTACACACTGTCTATGGCTGCTTTCCTGATACAACGGGAAAGACCAGCAGTTGCAACGGAGACTGTATGACCCACAGAGCCTAAAATATTTACTATCTGGTCCTTTACACAAGAAGTTTGTCAACTCCTACTTTAAACTATACCAAAGATGACTGAGACCTGATAAACGTGATCTGTTTGCTTCTACCAAGAAAATATACTCAAACGGTATTCATTCCATTTTACCCATTTTAGTTCTCTGAAGTCTCCAGTCAGTGCAAGACTGATGAAGCACACAGGCATTTCTGAAACATGAGGATGAAAGAACTTTTTCTCTGCTGAGGGGCACATACCATCACATAAACAAGTGCTTCCCCACCACTTTCTCTGGTATCACAAGCTTCCTTGAGAACATAAGGAAAGCTATGAATTTTCTCCCCAGAAAAATGTACAAAAACATAAATTTAATGAATGAGCAAATGATTTTGGAATCTCACAGACTTTTATGTTCAAATACATTCCCTTGTGGCGAATTTTCACTTGAATAATAGACACAAACCAATAGTTCTTTAGCAGTGTAGCCCTATAAGGCCAAGTTAATGATTAGTCAGAGAGAACACAACTAATTTTAAAATGAAAAGAAACTCACCAATACTTGTTTTTATATCCTATATCTTTTTCTCTCTACCTCAACTCTCCTCCCTCCAAATTTTACGACAACTATCACTTCTGAGTACATACATTTAACTCTTGGAAATGTCTTCCTTATACGTGAACAGTTACAATTCTTCAGTAACATCATATAAAATGTACAACCCACTTAAATTACACATACCTCACTGTTGACTTCCTGAAGTACTTTCATCAAATCTTTTGCAATATAAGATGGGCAACTATATACACAATTAAGTAGGTTTTTCAAAGTTTCAGACAACTTCTGAAAAGATTTTAGTTTCTTTTCTCTCTGCAGGTCCTCAAATAAAGTAGCCAAATCCTAGGATACAAAAAAGAAAATTAGAAAAAAAATAGTTAAGTAACTACAAAGGCTAAATGTACTAATTATGGAAGACTCTACCCAAATGATGTGACATTGCTTATAATTTTCCATTTCCCCTTACAGTTAGCTTATTATGAAAAGCCAAACACTGGTCTTTTATTCAATGAAAAGATATAGGATTGAAATATGGTATTGCTATCTTTTAAAAATAAGGGAGAAAAGATGGACGGATATTGACAAATTGGTTTCTAAATTCAATGACTTAGTCCACTGAAATCCCAACAAAATGTCAAGAATGGAGAAAATTGTTCATGGGTACACACAGGTATGTACACACTCTATCTTCCTGGCTAGTGAGTTTACCTGAACAACGTAGGTGGCATCTGAGGTGATCTCCTCTGCTTTGGAAACCAAATGATCTATTACCAACTGAAACGGAGACACTATTTTGCTGAGGGTCTGGAGACACTGAATGGCAGCCCTTCGGACTTCTTTTATGGGACTTCCCAGATTAATGAGTAGAGATATCACCACTAAAACCAAAGCGAAAAAAAATTAAGTAACAACTTTTAAAACTGGAACAGTATAAAATTCACATATTACCAAAGGTATATGATAAAAAGTTTCCTTCTCAACTAAAACTCCTTCTCTGAAGACCATTCGCTGTTTTAATTGTTTACTACTCCCAGAAAAATGTTAGGTGTATGTTATCTTGTACATATTCCTTTGAAAATGTCCAAATAAGAGCATTATATATGCTGTTCTACACCAAGTGCTATCACATCTCAAGGTATTTAGAAGCATTTTCCATACAAGTGCATACGTATCTAAATCAAATCATTCTAATTGTAAAGTACTCCACTGTATTTTCCATATTTTTTAGACCAGTACCTTACTGGTGAAGTTTGGGTTGTTTCTAGTCTTTTGGCAACACACCAATGCTGCAACAAACACCCCAATATACATACATCCTTACAGAAGTGTGTGCAGGAAATGATCCATTTGGACGTCGTGCTTTGCAAATATTTTATCCCAGCTTGATGTGTTTTGACTTTACTTTTCGATGGAGAAATTTTAGTCCAATTTTTCTTCTAGTTTTTTCTGTTGCTCAGGAAGGCCCTTCCCACTCTTAAGTGAATTTAGAAACTATCTCTCTATTTAGAGAGAAAGATCATATGTACTCCATGTTTTCTTCTAACAATAGAGCTATGTGTTTTTTTTTGTTAAATCTTTAGTGCACATGAAATTTTTGCGTAAGGAATGAGGGTGGAGTCAAACTTTCAACTGTTTCCAAATGGTTAGTCAGATGTCCCATTTGACAATCCACATAAGCATCTCACAGATCTTGGATTTCAGCTTTATTATATTCATACATTCCATAAGTATTTGAAACTTGTCTATTTCTGCCAGCTAGTACTTCTAGGACTGTGTTCAATGGTAGGTGATGAATTTAACGGGAATGCTTCCCCCCCGAATTATGAAGTGAAAATGCAAGCTTTTGATTTGAGGAATATTTTTATCACATTACTCCTATTTTGCTGTCAATTAGGAATAATTACTGATTTTTAGCTAATGTCTTTTCAGATCTTTGGATATGATTATATGGGTTTTCTCCTTTAACACTAATACGGTCAATTATATTAACACAATTCCTTATACTGAACCAATTTATATTCTTAGTATGAACTCTATCTAGGTAAATGATTATTTTAATAAATATGCAGTTAGATCTTATTTCAAAATATTTTATTTAGAATACAGGCCACATGGTCTATAGTTTTGTTTTCGTCTGTAAGCTTTGTCAATTTTCAATGTTATGCTTGTTTTAGACTGAGAATCTGGAAACTTCCCTTCTATTTCTACATCCCACCCATTCAACAACATAGAAAAAACCTGCTTTGAAGATGTAGTAAGAATGCGTCTGTGAGACCAACTGCACTGAGGTATTTAAAAAGATGTCTCTGGGACAAAGAGATATCTAAATTCCTTTTAAGGTAATTAGTTATTTAGGCTTTATTTCTATTGATACAAACTTTAGTGATTCACATTTTGCTAGAAATGATCTATCCACCTCTGAAATACTGAAAAAGAACTTGATAAGCTTTCAGACCTGAGAAGTTCATATGGGTTGAGCATCCCTGATCCAAAAACCCAAAATCCCAATGCTCCAAAATCTGAAACTTTTTGAGTGCCAATATGACACCACAAATGGAAAATTCCGCACCTGACCTTATGTGATGGGTTGCAGTCAAAATGCAGGCACATAACAGTTTATTCAGCAATCCCAAGGGAAAAAAGATCCTCTTGTCCCCCTTCAGCTGAGATATATCTTTTCTGTGCTCACCCAGATCCTTAAATGCGAGCATGTCCACAAAGGGTAATAAAATGGTTCGAGGTAAACAAACTTTGTTTTGTGCACAAAATTATTAAAAATATTGTCTAAAATTACCTTCAGTCTATGTGTTAAAGGTGTGTATGAAACATAAATGAGTTCGGTGTTTAGACCTGGGTCCCATCCCCAAGATATCTCATCATGTATATGCAAATATTCCAAAATCTGAAAAAATCTAACACTTCTAATTCCAAGCATTTCGGATAAGGGACATTCAACCTGTATCACCCTATGAAAGTTCGAAATTCTTTCTAGTCCTCATATAAAGTTAATTTATAAAATAAAATTAGAAATGAATAGCTGAAAAACTGAATTCACACAAGAGACAGCATCAGGCCAAAACATCTATTTGTTAACATTCCCTATATGGTAGAGCTGAGCTTCCAAAAAAAAATCCAAATTCAAAGCACTAACTACTAAGGTTATCATGTTCAAGTGAGGTACTGAAACTCAACATAAATCAAAACTACATTATTTAAGCAATTGGCTTTTAGAAATGTTCTTCCATTTAAAATCTATGTAATTTCATTTTCCCAACTAATTTTATTTAGATTTAAAATAGCATATTTTACATAAAAATTGGAAAAATATTTGAAGTTTGCTTTAAATCATGCAAATAAATTATTATACTGAGATTAGGCATAACAAACAAATAAAAGGCAGCCCCATCTTACAAGTGATAGTACAACAAATTTTATTTATTCATTCAGCAAAGACTTGCTATATGCAAGACTCTGAGAGTATGTATCTGCATAGAAAGTAATAACTGGTATTTAGATTCCCAAGCCAATAACAAAAACTTAATTCATATAATATCGTATTACATTATCATAATGTTGTAT